AGTCCAGTGAAGCTCCATTGGCTGGAAAAGAAACTGCCGAGTTTTCATTGTCAGTGATAACACGAGCGTTGCTGACAGGAATTCCCAGGGCGCGGTTCGATCGCGATTTGTAAATCATATTGGACACAACGTTTTTCAAGTGACAGTCCAACGCGTACAGCAACAGTTCGCCAGAATCGCGCGTTACGCCGCCAGGCAGCCCCTGCTCCAAAGCAATGGCAACCATGCGGTAGCTCAGTGACTCGATATCAGGCGTGGACTTTGTGTCGTAGACCAGCGGCGCTGTAATGCCCTTGGCAATATCCATAGCGTATGACTGCGGTAGCTGCGACGCTGGTAATGGTAACACAACGGGTTTCATCGACCGAATCGCAGTATGCGCCTCTTCGGGGGTAATATCGGGCTTTTTCAATAATGTCTTTATCGCTCGCCTCTCAGCCTTATTCAAAGATTTGACCAGCTCCTTGACGTAGCGCCATTTGGGATCCTCCAAGAGCGCCTTTATGCTGCGCCGACTCCCACGCCCATCGCTACCGACCAACTCGGCCTCATCCTCCAGCTTGCGCTTCTTATTGCCCTCAAATCCCTCGCTGCGTTCTCCCTCTGGTGGTGCAACCCCGCTTTGCGCATTGTGGATTGTGGCCAAGATAAACTGGTTGTGCAGTGATGCCTTTTCGCCAGATAAATATAGGTACGCGTAAAAGTCAAATTCTTGCCGATTGAGCTTGCCCTGGACAAAATCACGCAGGGCTGACCAGTAAAGGGGTCCGTCGTCGCCTAGTGCTTCAGCCAGTTGCTCCTTAAGCTGTGTGAGCTGGTACCGCTCCTCTGCCTTGGCTGCCGCTGCGTTAACATTCGCCTGTGGTTGGTGCCAGACCAATTGGGCTTGCATGCTTGTTTTTGTTGGTAAATAGCCCTTTGCGCTCTTTGAGTGTCCGACCAGATAAGGATTTTATTCAAAGTTAGTTGCAAGTGTAAATTCTGGGCGATGGATTGGGGGAGAGTAATAGTTGAAATACAAATAAAATACAAAATGCACAGAAATGCCTTTCAATGAGAGCAAGGAAAAAATATAAAACATGCGCGCTTGCAAATTAATGCTTAACTATCACGGCCCTCAAACCCACACAAGTGAAATGTTGATTTTCTCAAAATCGTCATTTGAGTCGAGTCGAGTCGAGGTGCTATTTTGCTGATCTAAAACCCAGCCATTTTACAAAGAGCGTCGGTGTTCAGGATCGTGGCGCACTGCTGGCGCGAATGCAGCAAATTGGCCGAAGTGCTTTCCAAACCAGAAAGTGGGCGCCCGGCGTATTGCAGCGACTCCGAAGGAGCCATGAGAAACACAGGTAATTCGATATTGTCTGCCGTCACTGCCAGACTCGACTGGCAAACAAAAAGCCCGATAGCCCAACGATGGCTATGAGCTGGGCCGCAAACTCATCACTCATCACTCACCACTGCGCCTTTAGCAGCTGAAAGTTTGAACTTGTGCAATCAACAATGCCCAATATCCCGTGGGGGCATTGTTTGCCGCGGGTTTTCAAGGAAGCAAAGGGGATTGGACGAAAAAGAACGCGGTGGAAGTTTTTCTTCTGCTTTCGCACCTCAAGCCCGCGCCCGTGTTGTTGCGCATCTGTTGGATCGCCACTATTTTGTAAAGACAAATTTGGGAAATTGAGTTTCTGCATGGACGACTCCGCTTGATGGTGGTTGGCTGGAAATAGCCGTTGGGGAGGAGCAGAGGGAGGAGAGGAAAAGTCATGGTTCCCAAATGGGACGAAGCACAGGGGATTAACATCAACGCTGGTACTCATACACAACAGGCAGCTCGGGGCATTATTCTGTTTTTCCGTTTGGCCGGCCACCACTGCTCTTGTTTTTGCTGGCAGGCGCAATTGGGCAAAGTGCAATGCGCCAGGCTTCATGAAGAGGTATCAAAAAGAATGCGCAGAACGCGCATTCATTCTTGCAGAATAACATGCCATTTGCGCCCCCTCCTGCGCATGGCCCATGTGCAGTCAGGGCTGTAGGAGGAAAATAACGATAAATGCCCCGCCGCTCACGTCGTCATATGTTGTCGCCAAAAGGGCAAAGGAAAAAAGACAGGAAAGCGATCAAAGCAAGAGTGGGATGAGCAAAACAAAAAAAGCAAAGCAATGCGGTATCCGGAGTAGGGGGTGGGTAAAAAAGAACCCAAAGATTAGTGAAATCGATCCACGCTGGTGCACATTCCGCCCCTCCTCCTCTGCGCCAAATATATGCCAAAGCGCTCAGTGACCATATGCGCAATCGGCTGGGACTCCTTACTGCCCTCCTATTTCCATGAAAGTGCCCCCTCTTTCCCTCGAGCAAGCATTTGGATGTTGCCTGTTGTGAGGACACGAGGAATCTTATATAAAGGGCGTGCTCGAGCCGGCCCCCCTGAACATTCTCGCTTCACTTTACACTTTTGTCTTCAACTCCAACTTTATCCATTCTTTTTTTGTCTAAGGTAAAATGGCATCTTATTCCGCCTATTGGCACATACCGCAACTATATCGCATTCGCACATTCGCACATTAGTATCTAACACTACTCTTTTGCCTGTTTTTTATTTTGCCTGCCTTGTGCGTCTAGACTTTAACCCCAGGTTTTCACACAACAAATACATCATATCATGTCTGTCATCAAGGTCGGTATCAACGGTTTCGGTCGCATCGGTCGCCTCGTCTTCCGCGCTGCCCTCACCAACCCCAACGTCCAGGTCGTTGCCATCAACGATCCCTTCATGAAGGTCGACTACATGAGCTACATGCTCCGCTTCGACTCGACCCACGGACGCGTCGGCGCCCAGGTCACTGTCGAAGACGGCAAGCTCGTTGTCAATGGCCATGCCGTCGATGTGTATGCTGAGCGCAACCCCGAGCAGATCCCCTGGGGCCAGTCCGGCGCTGTCTACGTTGTCGAGTCCACCGGTGTCTTCACCACCAAGGAGAAGGCCGGCCTCCACTTGAAGGGTGGTGCCAAGCGCGTCATCATCTCGGCGCCCTCCAGCGACGCCCCCATGTACGTGTGCGGTGTCAACCTCGACAAGTACAACCCCGCCCAGGACACCGTTATCTCGAACGCCTCCTGCACCACCAACTGCCTTGCCCCCTTGGCCAAGGTCCTGCACAACGAGTTCGGCATCATTGAGGGTCTGATGACCACCTGCCACGCCGTCACTGCCACCCAGAAGACCGTCGACAGCCCGTCCGAGCGCGACTGGCGTGCTGGCCGCGGTGCTGGCCAGAACATCATCCCCGCCGCCACTGGTGCCGCTAAGGCCGTCGGCAAGGTTATCCCCGAGCTGGCTGGCAAGCTCACCGGCATGTCTCTGCGTGTGCCCGTCCCCGATGTGTCGATCGTCGATCTGACCGTCCGCCTCGAGAAGGGCGCCTCGTACGACGAGATCATCGCCGTCATCAAGAAGCACGCCGACACTGACCTCAAGGGCATTCTCGGCTACACTGACGAGGAGGTCGTCTCGCAGGACTTCTGCGGCGACGCCCACTCCTCGATTGTCGATATCAAGGCCGGTATTGCCCTCAACGACAACTTTGTCAAGCTGCTTTCGTGGTACGATAACGAGTTTGGCTACTCGCAGCGCGTCGTCGATCTGATCGAGTTCGTCGCCAGCAAGGAGTAAATTTTTATATTCTGTCTCCCCAATCTCTACGTAATTTTATTTTCAACCTTTTGAATAATCAGCTGTATCGTGTGTCGAAAAAAAGTTTTGCGCCCCGCAAAAATCTGCGTGTGGACCACAATATGTCCACAATATTGCTTGTTCGCTGCCATTTATTAACACGTGGTCCTTATAATTGAAGGAAAATCGGAACGAAAAAAAAGCAAATGTGTGAAGGTTCGCACGGGCCACCCTTCCTTATCTTCGATTGCCGCTCAGCCTGGATTCCTTTCCGCAAGCAATCGCTGCAGCATACCGTTCCGAAACATCCCGCGTTATCAAGCATCGCGTCTGTGTTCGCATTTAAACATTCGCACGCTCATCTTATATCTCCGCGTCATGTTGGCATTCCGATTGTCGATAAATTATTTTGTCTCAGCAAGCACAACCACAAGCACAGCCAAAAAATTGAAAACCACCGCATATCTGCACATTTGCACCCCTTTTACAATCAAAGAACAACTATCTAAGGGATATTCGGACTGCCGCAAGCAGTCATATACTGTTTTTCTGTCACTTGCGCAAGATGGAGTCCAAGAGCCGGGTTACATCATGCGACACAAACCCGTTTGGATCACTGAGATGATCGACGATGCGGACCAAATTGTGTTTCAGCTCACCGCCACGGCGAACCAGCACAATCGGTACCACCGAGGCATCAGCGAATCCACACTCATCGGCAGACACGCGCAGAAACACGGTCTCTGCAAATCCGGCCGCCAGCGCACGCTCAATCGACTCTGACCTCCTCGAGGCGACGCTGGAATTAACCAAGATAGCTACAACGCAGTCCCCAGACTGTGCCCACTCGTCAACAATGTCTACGTACTCGTCAGGCGTTGCATCCCTCAGCGCGCCCATACCATTTTTCGGCGGCATGGATGAGCTTACATATGCGTTTGTTCTGGTACTCGGCAATAAATTTGCTGTTGTCGTTTTCGGTGCCGGATAACAAAGCTGTGCCGCCGGCAGGCTGCTCGTCTTGCTTAGTCCATATGGTGCGGTTGCTGGCATCAACAATGTTGTGCTGGGTGGCACTTGTGTATGCAGACTTTGTCGCAATTTAATTATTGACCGCTAATTTGTGCTTCTCTGCTGTGCGGCACGCGCGCATTCCTTTTTCCCTCACCTAATAAAAAGTTAGTCAGCGCCACTTTGCAAATCATTGCCATGAAATGCTGGCTCCAACGCGCTCGTGCAATGTGGCCACAGATATAATTAGTTTGCAGAATATGGGTATCAAAAGGTCATTTCAATAATATTTAAAATATGCCAAAAAAACAAGAGCAAAGCTAGGGAGATAAAGAGAGTGAAAAATTAATGGGAAAAATGAATGCAAATGCGCATTAAGATTTCCTCAGGCTGAATGCTTCCAGCCATCCAGCCAGCCAAAGACAGTTTAAATTTGCTCGTCATACTGTGCGCACAGTTTGCAGTTAGTGCGCCAAAATTGAGTTGTTCCTGCTGTTGTGGCCCATGCAGCTCACATTCAAAAAACATCTGCAGCACGCCCATGGTAAGATCTGTAATTGATGCTGGTAACTGTACTCATAGGCGAATCAGCGTTTATCCAAATTAGTGGCGTGTTCCCCATCACAGGGCCAGGCGGACGCCTTACAAACGACTGTGTCGAGGAATTGGCCCAGCTCTCGTAGGCATCATCAAAGTGCTCCATGGATTCAGCCAAGTGCCCGTTGGAAGCCTCTGTCTGTGTCATGCACTCAGCCCCAATGTGCTCGTTGCGATGCATTGTGCCCCGGTACTCCAGCTCATGAATGGACCAGTCAACAAGAACCTGTGTTTGCTCATCCGATCGCTGTGTGATAATGTTGTGATTTATTAGGCGCCTCTTGTACAGATCATTGTTGTGCAACTGCTGGTTGACCTTGGGCAGCGCGCGTTTCGGGGAGGCAGCAATGGCCGTGGAACTGCGGTCCCGCTCATTGTACTTGGCAAGTATCCCGCTAATCTTGCTGCTGAAATCGGCAAGCTCATCCTCCAAATCTTTGTTGACCTTTGTCGCCCTCGAAATTCGGCGCTCAAGTTATGAAATGCGTGTATGACTCTGGTTGAGTAAAGAATCGGTGTCGTTTAGTTTAGTCTCCAAAGCTTTGCTGGCATTTGCTGCTATCTGAATGCGGCTCTCAAGGCTCAAAATGTGCCTTTGACTCTGATTGTGCAAAGAATTCACATCTTGCAATTAAGCGCGCAAATCTGCATTTTTGTTTTTCACGCGCGTGTTGTCTGCCTCTACCTCGGCCAACTGGGCGTTGATACCAGCAAATATCCCCGAAATCAGCACAAGCGTTCTCGAGCTGCTTGCAAAGGGTATCAGCAATATCGTTGGCGGCAGCAACCTTGGCCTGGATGGATCTTAGTTTGGCCTCGGGTCTCCTGCACTTGTTCTCAACCATCGTCGCGTGAGCGTAAGAAATTGAGCGCTGCTTGTAGTACAGGTCAATTTTTCTCTGGGATTCCAAATCTTCTTTGTTCAGCTTCTTCATCAAAATGGTGGCGTTGGCATTGGCGACATCCAACTGTGCGCAGATGTTTTTATTCTCGGATCTGACGTCCTCGGCAATGGTGATGGCTGCTGCAATGTCGGCCCTAAGCTTCCTGTTCTGGGCACAAAGATCACTGTTATCGGCAGCAACTGCTTTCAACTTTATGCGAAGCACCTTAATATTGCGGTGCATCTGCTTTAGCTGGTTGTCAGATGCAGCACTGGCGGAAGTAGAGCTAGCAGCGACGGCGACGGCAGTAGTGGTGACTGCAGTCACAGACTAATAACGGAATGCATTATTCCCAGAAGGCAGCTGGAGAAGCCTTATGTTCTCGAGTCTTGCCTTGGACAAGTTGTCCATTAACACGCTTATTGTTTTGGCAGAACCCTTGCAGTGCCCCTCACATCTGTAGCGTGCGTTGGCGGAATCTATCGTCCTGCGTCGGATATCAGCGTCTTTCTTCGATACAGCGTGTCTTTTTGCACAATTCTGAACACAGGTCGCTAATAGTTACCTTTGCTTCTACGCAGGATGAGCAGAGAGAGCAAGATGACTTAAATGTAGGAAGATTCGGAGAGGAAACGCTTGTGCTGGTGGAAGAAAAGGAAGAAGAGTCGTTCATTTTTATACGAGAGTGCAAAATGGATATAATAAATCAAAATGGAATAGAGTTGGTGAATTTCAAATTGTAAGGTAACCTGTGATAACCAAATTATGTTAGTGCTAATGTTAATACAACGGCGAAAGCGATGGTGATAGTGAGAACTAATTGCGAAAGTGAATATCAAAAGAAAATTTAATAAAAATTGAAAGAAAAGAGTTAAAGTAAACAAAGCTGAACGACTGCCGCCATTTTATATTATTTTTATAGGAGCGAAGCCACTAATTTTCTTGAACCAAAAAATTCTCGCACAAGCGCATGTTTGGCTTGTGTGATCAAAGGATTACGCAAACCATGCGACTTAAGGTATTTCCTATTTGGATCAGCTTATTTTGGCCTACCTTTTTTATTCAGTGATTATCAACACCTGCATGCTTATAATTATACTTTTCTAACACTTACATGTACTCTTTTTGAGCTCAGACCACTTGTCTTTGTAGTTAACCATTTATTGGCGCCCAAATCTGAAAATGCCCCGTATAACCACTAAATAGCATAAGCCTGTACATTGTCGGGCCTATCCGTGAATGCTACACAATTAAATTGGACAAGCAGATGCACTCTTATTTCATCGCCGCATATTCTGTAGAAACGGTTACTTCCGCGTATAAGCATTGCCAAAGAAACAATTCAGGAACCATGAAAATAGTCGGGACACCGTCTTGGATTAATAACCCGAAACTTTTGTTATATCGCAATATGATAATGTGCCTGTGATATCAATTATTAAAACGTCACGTGACAATTGCAATTGTGAAATTGCGATTTCTATTTTCACTGTTGATAATTTTATTGGTTGATGGCGATCAACTGATTAACCAGTCTTGGCTGTTTAGCCACACAAACAATAAGTCACACAGTGACCAAAGCAATATGCTCCCTACTCTTCGCCTTTCACAGTGCATAGCACTTGTTATTAAATATACTTTATATTATTATACTTTATCTACGCGTTCATAGAACGTTCCTATATTCCAACAATAGTGCTCTAGTTATCAGTTTTGTTCAAACAGTTTATGAGAACAGCGTAATGGAATATAAAATAGTTAGAAAAAGTACCAATATCAACGGGACATTATTGTGTTGGATCTAATTCTCTATTTTTCTTACATCTCTCTTTATATTGCTGCGGCTCCAGATTCTGACTAGCTTGTGATACACCTTTCTGAGCTCTGATTTCTGCCCCCACATGGTCAGTGACCACTTGGGCGTCCCACTTGTGCGCTTCTCCAAGGGCTACTTCATACTTACACATTGTCACCGAGTTGCCTGCAATATTTGCAATGATTTATTTTTTGCAATCTGCGCGAAACAGATACTTGGATATTCATTTACAGAGATAATCAGTGAGCCCAAAGCAAATTAACAACGTCACAAGTGTTTCTTGACTAATCTTGGAGGCAATAAGCAGCATATTAAATGTTTTTCAAACTAATTTTAATTCGTTTTCATTTTAAATTTCATCTAGCAAGTTTCAGTATATACACAAAATTTTATTAGTTTGTATTGTTATGTAAGAGGGGATGGGGAGCACTACTGTAATAGTGTTAAAAGAATGGGTGTCAAATTATAAAGGATTTTATTACTAGTGTTTCTAAAGTGTTATTATCGCCGGCCTCGCCTTATATATATCTCCTTGTATTTGTGGCACTCACTGGCAGTTGTGTGCTCCGTTCGCGAGAACTGGTCCTTATGAAAGCAACCCGGGTCTCTGATATGGCATAATTGGCATGTCTGTATTCTTGCGCCCAGCACATCCATTTCAGGACAGGCAGTATGTCCGGATGTTAGTTGTGGCGCCTAATTTGATCCCCTGTAATTTGGCCCATATCAGATCCATCTGTGAGCTGACGAGAGTCTGTCTCATGGTTTTCGCCCTCAGCGTCTACCTCCATATCCTCAGGCTGCGTAACAGTATTATACACTCAAAAACGCTGACTCTAGTAATGAGCCGAGCGCAGTGAAAAATAAGAAATTGGCGATGGACTGGATGTGTAGCCTAGAGTTGCATCGGGAAGCGTGCCAAAGTGCCCAGCAGCTCGAAAGTGATAAAGAAACGTGTGATGAGTATAATCTAGTGGCTGTTATATAGTGCCAAAATTTTGTTTGTTTGATTTTCCCACACTTCCTACCTTTTTAGCTCCCTACCTCTATGTCTTTGTATTGCCTGTTTTTTATTTTTATTTTTTTATGAGTTGCATCTACAACATCACAAGCTGATCAGACTTGTAATGATTGCTGTGCCGCCATGTATTTAATAATAAATTTAATAAAACCCCGAGAACATTTTACAATGTTTCAAGGCCCATGGACACTCATCTTTTTTTGTTCTTTTTTTATTTGTTCTGTTTTTTTGTTTATTCTGTTCTTTTGTTTGTTCTGTTCTTTTTTGTTCAGGCAATACATTAGCAAGGAGGGCGGGTAGCAGCAAAGGCAGGAGTGGGTAATGAGGAGACAAAATATGAAGATGAGGGCTGGTTGTATGAAAAAAGAGGATTTGACATGAAAAGCCGATGGGTGTGTTTGAACATCCCTTGGCATAAGTTGTGTTTTGAAAGTGAAAATGTGGACTGTAGATTTTCCGAGCGAAGGGTTGGTTATTGAAAAGTCAAGAGGAGGTAAGTGATATCCGCGGTCGCTGGTGGTATATTCCATATACAAACATGGTGCGTAAAGTGTAATTGGTAAATGGTGTTGTAACAAATTGTGGTGGGGATGAGAAACCAAAGAAATGTCTTGGGAAGTGGACGCTCTATTTATATGAAATCTGGCATTCAAATGGATGGGTGAGAAAGACAGCTAAAACAGAGCTGTCATTTGGAAAAAGAGATGGAAAATAAAAAATACAGCAAGTTCTTCGTTTTGCGCCAGCCTAAAATAATTTCCTCACGTTTTTGCACTAAGAGGCTTGTATTTGGGTAATGAAACAAGCCCAAACTGCCAAAAATAGCAGCAAGATATATCTCCATGTGCTTGAAGAAAAAATGTTAACATTGCATCATTTTGATGTCAACATTGCATCATTTATGCCGTGAAATAAAGTGAAAATGATTTTGATATTTGCAAAAATACAAACATGCATTCGGCCTTTTTTGCAAGCCAAACAATGATATCTTTTTTTGGGAGGGGGGGCAGATTTTGTTCCGAAAATTTACATGTATATTTAGAGAACCTGGGTAAGAGGCCCAACCTGAAACATAAACAATTGGTATTTGCTACAAATGATATTAATCAAAGGATGCTATTTATTTCTTCCAAGGAGGACAATTCCTGGCTGCCCGACAGCCAGGAATTATATGCTCTCCTTGGCATGTAAATAACCTATAATAAAACCTATCATCATTGCTCTGATTGCCACATGAGTAATCAATTAATCTCAGTAAGGCAACATGCAAAGCCATGTGCCTTAACTGTGACATATCATTGGAGTCAATTCACACATTGAT